CAGTTTTAACAGGATCTTGTATCCAGAAAAAGTGGTAACATTTTAGATACATTCCTTCAATCATGTCTACACACAGGTGACACAAAGTTAACTGAACTGAAGAGAGATTACATGCATGAAGGACATCCGCAGGAAACCCTGTATTTTATCTTAGGCAATAGTTTTGACTTCTTCCCTTTTAAAACCTTTCACTGGTGCTGACTCAGGCCAAACCTGACGAGTCTTTCAAGCCAGACGGAGGCATTTGGGCTGACTTCAGGGAGATAAGAATCTCTGGCTGGATGGAACGTGCCAGTGACTGGGTCAGTTGTCAGCACTGGGGAGAGATCAGATTGGCCATGCTTTGGTCACTTCAAACACCCTACTTTCTTATCTTCCTGCTGGGAGTGAGTAGGAACTAGTTAGGGCTTGAATCATGGCTTGGCAGTTTACTTACTGGGGGGAGGTGATGTGGAGTAAGGGCTGCTCAGGGGAGACGGAGCAGTGTATGGAAAAACATGGCAGCCAAGACAAAGCATGGAATGTGCATGAGCTGGAGCCCAGAGTGTCCATGGGGGAGTGGCAGGAGATGACAGTTGATAGGTAGACAAGACTAGAGGTTGAAAGGCCTTGAAGACCATTCTAAGGGGTTTAGAATTTAACTCTCAGGACAGATTTTTATTATTTTCATTGGCAGATTTTTAGTGAAGAATTAATTATGTAACATAGAGAGCAATATTGAGAAAGATTTCCTTGAGTCCAGTAAGGCTGATGACCTGGGTGTAAGTAAGGAAAGGATGTAGCCGTGTGAGGGAGGAGATGCTTGGGGTAGTCTGGATGGGATGTAATCAGAGTGTGAACAAGGCGATGGCAGGTTGGCAAGGAGAAGGAGTTGGGGAGAGTAGAGGGTTTGGTGACTGGGAGTGGAGTTGACATTCATTGCTGGGTTTATGGCTTGGACATCTGAATTAAACGAGACCAAGAATCCAGTAGGAGGAACAGAATCTGGGGGGATGGATGATGAGTTTTGTTTTGGATATGCTGTGAGAGGTGCCTAAGAGAGGCCTCTGAGGAGCTGTCTAGTAGGCCACTGAGCTGATCTTGGGAGAGGGGAGATGACATTGGCCTGAAGTTAGCACTAAGGCATTGGATAAGGTCAGCCAGGGCAGTGAGTCTACCAAAGCCAAGAGCAAAGCCCTAAGACAGAGTAATTTAAGTCCTGAACGGAGGAAGAGGGACCCACAAAGCAGTAAAAATGTTTTCTTTGAGGAAGTGGGGTAGAATGAAAAGCGACTGGTACCATCGAAGCCAGGAGAGGAGAGAATTTCAAGACTGATCACATGCTGCAGTACGATGAAATAAAACAAGGACTGTATCACGCGGTGCTCACCGAGTCTGACAGATAAGATCGTTAGCAGTGCAGTTAAAGCAGCAATGCAGAAAGATAGGAACAAGTCTCATCCCAGCAGGTCTGAGGAGCTGGGCAGAAGGGAGGGTGTGGAGATAAGGAAGGTGCAATAATCTCGCAAGAGGTTGATCTAGGGAGGGAAGGAGAGACGTGGTGACAGCTGGGGGTGGGGAGGTGCCTAGAAATGCCCTATCCATATGGTAGGGAGAAATTTAAAGTGTCACTGGAGAAAGCACATTGCAGATTTGTTGGAATAGTGGTCTGTGTTAAGATGCTGAATTTTTCTCCTTTTCCTCCATCTCAATCTGGAGTCATCCTGGGCAATGCTGGGAAGCAGAGCAATTTCTCTTAGAGGCTTCATTATCCCTTTATCTAGGTCTTTCCTGCAAGTTTCTCTGACAGTGGTATCCCACCTGGGATTGACCTCCTGGAAATTTTCTAGCTCTTTCCTCAACAAAACCTACCTGGTGTCCTGGATATGTCAGTCAATTTCCCTGCCATTAGCAATTTCCCCTCCAGGCTTAGAATATCCTAGGCGCAGCCTCTGAAAGGTCCTCCTCCTCCTACCCCCCCAGGCTTGACTTCCATTCCAATTCCTCTAGCTGCTTTCACAGAGCCATGGCTATTTGGACCAGGGATGGACTCCTACCCCAAAGCAGTTGATCCAGTATAAGTGGCCTGGTCAGAATAAATAAGCTGAGCTGAGTATGTTCCTTACTGGAGAAACTGGAGTCTCAGATGGATCAATTGCAGGAGACATTTGAGAGTCAGGTCATGAGGTGGTAGCCAATCTGCTTTTGGATATTTGTGAGATTTCTTCAGATATCCTTAAATCCTTAAATCCTATCCTGTGCTCCCTGCCACCTTGAGCTAATGGGTGAATTTTGATCACTTGCAACCAGAGCAGCTCTGACATCCTGACTAGACCAACAGGAGTATTATTCCATTTTCTTCAGCTATGCTCAATGAGTTGCTAGTTAAGTGGTTCACTGTAAGCAAGATGGTTCTTTTCTGTCTTCTATTTGACAAAAATGATTGCAAATGTACGTGATCAATGTTTCTCTTAATATGAAAATAAAGTGATTTCCTTTTTGAGTGAATTGATACCAATCATCACTTAGGAGCTAATAACAATGGACTCTGACTATGGTGACTTAAACATACAAGGATTCACTCTCTCTTAAAAGGAAAGTCCAAAGTTGATAGTTGAGGGGTGCAATGGTAGCTGCAGGATGTTGTAAGGTACTGAGGCTTCTATTTTTTCTGCTCTGCAGTTCTTAGGGCTTGGTTTCCATCTTCATGTGGTGACTGACCACATGACCCAAGATGGCTGCTGAAGCTCCAGCCATCATCAACCATCATGTGTGCTAGCTTTTGCCATAATTCTGAGAAACAAACCAGCCCCAAACTCAGTAGCTTACAATAATTGGCATTTCTTTGTCTCACTCCTAGGTCTGTAAGTCTGGTGGGGGTAGCTCTGCTTTAGTCTGCAGGTTGGCTGAATTTAGCAACAGGTCCAAGTTTAGGTCTGCTACATGTTTCTTGACATTTTGCTTTGACCAGCTGTTGGAAGGAGCATATAATGGTTAAAGCAAATCACAGGAATACATTCCAAGCCTTTATTCCCATTATATCTGATAACATCCCATGGGTCAAAGTCAGGAAAATGGTCAAATCTAAAATCAAGGTTTGGGAAGTACATTCCATGTACCTTAAAGGGTGGGTTGTCTAATTCTATTAAGGGATGGAGTGAAGAGTTGAAAATAATAATTGAACCAACCACACATTATGTGTGAAATCCCGGACAAAAGAAGGAGGTTGAGAGGGACAAAGGAACATAGCTATTAACCACATCTGTTTTTAACAAGCCCATTCGAAATTCCCACAGAACCCATCCTATTCTATTTCATTGGCCAGAAACTTTCCATATGACCATTCTTGATTGCAAGGGAGCCCAGGAAATGTATTCTTTATTCCAGGCTGCAGGGTGCTCAGCTAAACACTGGGGTCTCTTTCAAGGTCAGAAAGAGGGAAGAAGTATTCAGGCAACTAGTGATGTCTTTCACAGTGTTCAACAAGATGCATCGTATTTACCCCTCACTGTTGCAAGGTAATCTGATAACTTCAGTTAAGGTGTTCATCATGCGTCTAATTAACATATAAATGATTATCTAACCAATAATTAAACACTGCTGGACTGTTGCTTTTGCAAGAAGGAAAATATAAGTCATCTGAGTTCTCTTCCACAAGTTAAACGTTTTTCTCAAACTCAGTTTCAGTTTTACTTACTCCTAAAACATAAATGATGGGGCCAGGAGGAGTGGCTGCTAAAGGCTTCTAAAAAGAAAGTATTTAAGTAGCTGAAAGGCACTTGCCTCCGAGAGAAATTCCCAAATAGGCTCTTCCTTCAGGCTTTTGCTGAAGTGCCACCTTGTCAGTGAGGCCTTTCCTGACAACGCACCTTAAAATAACCACTTCCCCCTTTCCTTACTTCCTTTTTCTCCATATCATTTATAACCCTACTTGATTATTTCATTATCTGCCTCCTCTCTCTAGAGGGTGAGTGACTTGGAGGCAGGTCACTTGTCATTTTGATCACTGTTGGTGAACTGGATTGCTGACTATGGTCCTCTATGATTGCTTTGGGTTGTCTGGTCATCTTGCCAGCTAGAAGCAGAAGCTTCTTTTTCACACAATGGCTTCATGAGGCTGTTGCAGCCATTCTGTGACCCTGGGTCTGGGGAGAAAAGGCAATCTGTTGAAGGTGGGCTTTTAGAAGCCTGGAAGGATATTTGGTCCTAAGCTCATCCCTGAGAGGCAGAAACAGCCTTCTTTTAGACTTGTTCTGTGCGAGACAGATGCTGACACCTGGGACCTGGCCTGGTACTCTTAGCTTAGCCTCAGTGTTCTGTTGAACCCAAACAATTTCACAGAACATCGACATTGGACAAGGTCGCTCTGTGACCTGACGGATCAGGGCAAAATCAAGACCACTTCTGTAATCTTGTCAGTGGCCACGTGGAGAGGTGTGTGTATGGTGGTCCCCTGCATTCACCCTCTCTCCCAGGAGGGGCCTGAGAGCCGGTGCTTGAGAATATGGGTCGTCTGGGCCTGGGACCATGACTGCAGACCTGGGATATCTGCAAATATGAGGATTGGGGGGGGGGGTGGTACTTGGAAGGGGTACAACAGTGCAAGGGACATTGAGCAGCCTTTGGATGGTACCAGGAAGGCATGAGGCTGAGGGCTGTTTTGTACCCTTTGCCTTAGAAGCCACACGTGTGGTCAGAATGGGAGCAGGTCTCTGAATCTAGGGGACCATAGGATGTAAGTGGCTGCGGGACCTGGGGTCAGCGTGCTAGAGTAGCGGGAATGGGGTGGGATGGAGGGAGAGGTGCGGGAAGTCTGGACTCGAAACTGCCAGGACTGTGGGGTTCCTGAGGCTGTCTTTGGTTTGCCACCTACAGAGAACGTGGGCGAGGCTCACGTTCAGAGCAGGATCCCGCCTGGCTCCAGGGCGTGCAGGGCGGGGAAGGAGTGCGGGAAGGCTGGACCGGGCGGGGCCGCCCAGGGGTCCCCTAGGGCCACCTCCCGGCACGAGCTGGCGGAGTAGGGGTGTGGGCGCCCGTTCCCCGTCCGCCCCGCCTCCAGGGCCCAGCGCGGCGCGCACGCTGGGCCAGCGCGGGGAGCGAGGCTGCGGCGCCGCGCGGTTGCTAAGCCCGGCGCCCCCGGAGACGTTCCCGGTGGCTGTCGCCGGGCGGGCGGCGGGAGGGAGAGGAGAGAGGCGGGCGCGGGCGGCTGGCCACTCGGTCGCGCCGCGCCTCCCCGCGCCAGCTCGGCCGTCGAGCCGCGGCCCCGCGCTGCCACCGCCGCGCCCCGGGCGCCCGAGCCCGCCGCCCCGCCATGCCCGCCGCCGCGCCCACTCCGCGCCCGCCGCCGCCCCCGGCCCGCCCCGCGCCGCCCGCCCCGGGTAAGTGCCGCGTGCCCGGGCCCCAGCGGGTCGGGGACGCAGAGACCCCGCTCCGTGCGGGGTGGGGGCGCCGTGCCAGCCCCGCGGGGGTGCCCCAAGCGCTGTGTGTGTGTGTGTGTCCGCGCGCGCGCGCGTCTACACCCGCTGGAACTCGCTTGCTCGGGGTTAGGGGGATAACGCTGTCCGCAGCTGGTTTCCTCTTCGTTGCCAGCCAGAGGGGCCTTCCCGGGAAACGCGTGGGCATCCTTCGAGGTGCCGTGGGGCTGCGGAAGAGTGCAGGCACCCGGCAGGCAGCTGACGTTTATGGAGCATCTCAGTGTGCCAGGTGCTTTGCCTGGAGTTGACCACCTTCCATCCTTTCCACAATCTGTAAGGAAGGTGGAATTATCCCCATTTCTCAGATGAGCAACGGCCCTGCCCAGAACTCTTGACTTGCCCGAGGTCATATGGCTTGGTAACTATAGAGCTGGGATTTGAGCCCAGGTCTGCGGAGCTCTCCGACCGAGCTAAAAGAAAGGAAACTCCTTAGAACTAGGTAAAGAAACACACAGAAGAACTAAAGACCACCAGGATAAAGCCTACGGGCAAAGCATTTGGGAATTAACAGGGAAAAAAACAAATGAGTTCGTGAAATCTCCCATCACTTAATTTCAAATCTAAGACCGCATTTACACAGCCTTCTACGTCTGGCTCTGGGGGCGAGGTGTTGGAGGTGGAGAGAAGACTGCGCCAGGGCTGGGCAGAGGCGGCTGGGGACACCTTCTCAGCGGATCCGCCTGCTGGGAGTGGGGGGGGGGGTGGGGTGAGGAGAAGTTGTGGAGGGAACTCAGTTGTTATTCATCGCCAATGTTAGTCATCCCTTCACCTCACCCCGCCCCGTGGATTCTATTTCCTTCCTTTACTCCCTGTTTTGTCCAAGATGACCGTAGTCAAATTGAAGCTGGTCCTACTGCCATCACTATGTGTCACCACGTCTTGGCATCCAGTGGTCCTGTGCTTCGGTGACTGTGTTAGGAGCTGTGAGGTCAGTCTGGGTTACTGCTGGGAGAGGTGGTCTGGTGGGCTGGTGTTGAGCTGACAATCACCATCACAACCAATAAGGCATCTAGAACGGTAGCCAAGCACTGGGCTTTTCCTTAAGGGGCAAGGTAGCAAAAAGCAGGGGCCTTAGGAAGTAAAAAAGGAAAGGCATGCTGGGGTTGCTGGAAAAGCATCTCAACTTAAAATTTGGATTGCTTTGGGTGGTGCCATAGAAGGCTTCACTGGAGAAAGAACAGAGAGGAGAAAACGATGGCTGAAAGATGCTCTGTAACTTACTTCGTTTAGGTGTAAAAGGTCTTTGAGTCGTGTTCTTTGCTGGTGAGCTAGAAAAGTGTGAGAACGGAGAGTCTCCACATAAGAACCCCATGAAGCCCTCAGAATAATGGAGGTTAAGTCTTAGTTTATCGTGGCCAGGCTGCAGGCAAAGCTTGGAGAGAGAAATGCTGGAACGTTGAGCTTCAGTGCTAGGCTCATTTTCTGTGGAACCCATGGTTTCCCCACCTTTTCCTTTGGTGGCCTCCTATTAACGTCTAAATTTGGCCCTTCTGGTGGTGAAGCAGAGCCCCTTTTGAAGATGCATAAGTGGGGGAGTTCTTTGGAAAGGATGTTTTGTTAACTGCCTGGTAATGTAGGTCAGGAGAGGGAAATGCAGGGAGAGTGGAAAAGTGCAGAAGAAGACATTCGTACTGGGAATCAGGGAGTGGAGTTCCATCCCCAGAGGTCTGCGGCTTCCTGGTGACCTGGGGACAAGTCACTAAACTTTCCTGGGAATGTCAGCCTCTTCAACTTTCTTTTTTTTTTTTTCTTTTTTCTTTTTATTTATTTATTTATTTTTAAAGATTTTATTTATTTATTTGACAGAGAGAGAGACAGCGAGAGCAGGAACACAAGCAGGGGGAGTGGGAGAGGGAGAAGCAGGCTTCCCGCCGAGCAGGGAGCCCGATGTGGGGCTCGATCCCAGGACCCTGGGATCATGACCTGAGCCGAAGGCAGACGCTTAACGACTGAGACACCCAGGTGCCCCAACTTTCTTTATTTAATAATAATTGTCAAGCCAACCTCAGAGGGTTGTTGGTGATCAAAGGGGAAATGTTTTCATTGACTCGTCAGATGCTTATTGAGCAAGTCCATAAAATCAGTACCCAGGGAGAACGGGCAGTCTCTCAGAGCTGGTGGTGTATGTGGAGGCTTTGTGGTATAGGCAGGAAGTGATGGAGTAGAGAGAAGCTCCAGTTCAGGGGTTGTATGAGGGGACAGGGTGGCGCTTGCGTTGGTCTGGAAGGCTAAGTGTTCATAGAACTTTGCAAACGGCAGTATGCCTTGTAGTGTATAGTTATGGGGGTTAGAGCTCTTGAGTCTGTCGGAACTGCCTCCAAATCACTTCAAAGCTGTGTGATCCTTAGAGGGTACCCAACTACTCTGAGCCTCCGTTTCCTCATTGGTAAAATGGGCATGAGCAAATTAGTCTGGGGACTTAGTGGTGTAAGGCACTTAGCAGATATTATTGCAAGTGGAAAGTATTACTATTAAAGTTACCTTTTAGGCTGAAGAGATTCTATTTGGGTGCCTTGGCCCAGTGCTTCTCAAATATTCTTAGGCATATGACTCATCTGGGAATCTTGTTAAAATGCAGATTCTGATCCAGGAAGTCTGGGGTGGGGCCTGAGATTCTGCTTTTCCCACCAGCTCCTAAGTTTTGTAAGTGTTACTTGTTTGGAGACCACACTTTGAGTACTAGGCCTTAGGCCCCTGTTAGGGCTGAGGAGCACTGTGCTTGAGGAGATGATGGGGAGGGTTGGGCCTCCTGGGCAGGTCTGGTTGTTGCTGGGGCAGAGACAGCTGGGACTTATTCCCTGTAGGGGTAATGGATCTAACTTCCTTCAAGTGCCTTAGACTAGCCCCCTGGAGGAAGCTCTTCCTGGCCAAATGGCCAAATGGCCAAATGGTGCCTACTCTCCTTGCATGCTGGTCTTGAGGGTGTAGAGATGAGGGAGCCGCTGACCCTGTCACAGTGTGGTTGCGGGTAGGGCGGGGATAGGCATGTGAATGTGTGATCTTTTACATGGTAAGATACGCATTCTGTATAGTTCATGGGTAATGATGATAGGGGTCAGGGGGAAGAATAGGGAGGAAGACTTCCAGCTGGTACTTATATCTGACCTGGGTTTTGAAGGGTGAATCACAGTGGTGGGCTGGGGGGAGGAGAACAGAAGAGTAAGGGGGCTGGCATTCTAGGATTAAGGAACAGCATGTGCAAAGGTCAGGTGTCATGAAACAGCTTGGTGTGTTCAGGTCATTGAACTAAGAGCTGTTGGAAGCATGAGTATGAGTAGAAGGGCTCGGGCAGGGAGGCTGCAGTGGGCTAAGTCAGGATGGGCTAAGCTCTGCTGCAGTAACAAATCAACTTCACCATCCTTATAGCTTAACCTGACCAAGGTTATCTGTCACTCACACTCTGTGTCCCTCCAGGTCAGCAGAAGGCCAAAGTGGAAGAGCTTTGCCCATCTTGCAGACACACCATTTGGAAAATGTGGCCTCTGTAGTCACCAGCGCAGGAGGAGCTCATGGGAGAATTGCTCTCCGACTCCTCTGTGCTTTGCTCTGGAACTGATGCATTGCTGCTCATGCCCACAGCCCGTTGGTCAGACCTCACTGGGAGGCCCTGGGAAAGGATGGGGGGTGACGTGTGTGGATGGAAAGTTCAGAGAACATCACTGTCTCTCCCACGTAGGGCTTGTTATGGACCTTAAGCCTCATTCCGAATTTCTCCAATGGGAGGATTATGTGAATTCCTTTAAAGGAAACAAAATGTTGTAGATTCCTAGTGGTGGCTTAAATTATTTTTTATTATAATGTAGTTCAAAGACGTAGTAGCATGAAAGAGGTCAATACTCTATGCTTGGAACTCGCATATGACTCTGAAACCAAAACAAATATATGTGTAAAATATCAACACAGCTACAAATCGAGAAATTCAAATTAACTGGATGAATTTAGTGTGATGGATGAAGTTATTTTCGCTACAATGAAATCACTGTTTCTGATTCTAAAAACAACTGTTCAGGTCTTGTGAATTTGGTATGATATGTGTCGTGCCACATGGGTTACCTGATGGCTCAGTTCTCATTAGTTCTCTATGTTAAGTCTGATTTCTTATTTTCTTATTAGCCTGTGACAGTTAAAATATTTCTGGTCGCCAACTATATCGTAAATGCACGAATACACCCAGTGAAACGATGTGGCAGCACTTGGCCATAACATGGATGTTCACATGATCCAGAATATGTTTCTGTAGATTTTCTATGGATAAGCTTAAAAAAGATTATCATGGAAATGGAAGCACAAAGTTAAACAAACATAATTTGAGAGAACTTGCAAATGCCCTAGAATGTGTCTGAGGATCCTCGGGAATTTGAGAAACAGGTGGAAAAAACCCCTGGAGTGTTTAATGAAGGAGGCAGATGACCAGCTTTATGGCTCAGAGACATTGCTTGCCCAGGTGTGGGTAGGTATGGGGTAGGGCGGAAGGCCAGAGACAGGGGGGTCGGGTCCCATGTGCTGAGGATAGGCACTGAGGCAGTGAGTAGTTAAGGGAATGGAGAAGAGGTGCCAGGTTTGAGAGAGATTTGGGAGGTGGAAACCACAGGACTTGGAGATTGGCTGTGGGGGGTGAGGGGAGGGATGCGGAGTCAGAGATGGCTCATCACCATGGGGTCGGGGTGGCTGACGGTGCCACTGACCAGGGTGAGGACCACCCACGTCCACGGGAAGCCCAGAAGAGCTCCACGCCAGAGCTGGACTACCCATATTCATCGCCCCGTCTTTCCTGACTGACTTGAGCTCTCCGGAACCGATTTCTGAGGAACTGCAGTGTCTTGCAGTGTCTGGTTTTTTTTGTTTTTGGTTTTTTCCCTCTCTAGGACTTTTCGTTAGTGCTCATTTGGGATGTGATTGGCTTTGTTAGCCTTTCGGTTGTGTCTGCTGGTCCTGACCCACTGGAGCAGGTTCTCTGTGGCCTAATTAGGCACATACCTTGTGTCTTCTCCATGTTTTGAGAAAGTGAAAAATATTTGACAAAATCGTGGATGGTTCTGAGAGAGAAGCTGTCATACCATATAAAGTGAGATTAGTTATCTGCCTTCAGTTTTTAAGAGCACCAAGTCTGGTTTTTTTTTTTTTTTTGGACAGAGATACTCAAAATTCTCCGAGGAGAGAACAGGTGCGGCGCAGGTTAAATGCTCTCTAGGTAATTACATAACAAGGAATCTGGAAACTCTGCCCTTGGGGGAAGCTGAGGGCAGAGAACACAAGGGCACCCAAACAGACATACAAATAAAAATGTCACAAACTGAAGGCAAATCTCTATGCTGGCCAGAGTGAGATCTTGTATTAATTAAAGTTACTGGCTCGAAATAATTTAAAATGTCACCTGGTGTCTCCTCTTTGTGTGAATTATTAACCCGACCTACCCTCCTCCGTGGAAGCCCCAGGAGCCAACTGCCAGAAGTGCCTTCCGTTCTGTGTGTTCCCGCTCACGACCAGCTGCTACTTGTCTCTTGGCCTTGGCACAGGCGTCACCTTCGTGGCAGAGCTTCTGACGTCCTCCAGGGGACCCGCACCCCACCGCATCTCTTTGGAACTTGTGACAAATGGTGTGTAAGCAAGGGCTGACCTGTCACCCCCCAGAGACCACACGCTTCCGGAGGACAGGCACTGTGTCTACTCGTCTTGGAATCCCCCCCAGACTAGTGGAGCATTTTTCCTAAGAGCTGGCTCCACACCCACGAGCTAGGCACCTTTGAGAACCATTGTTGGTCTGGTTGGAGGGGCTGTGGTCTACGCCACAGTGGCCTGATTTTTGGAATGTCTCCTCTGGGAATGGGTTGGGTGAAGCTGGTTGTTCAATGTAGTTCAGATGTTGTGTTGATTTTGGATTGGCTGTACCCAGAATCCGTGCCCCCCAGATATTCATGTGCTCCCCTTCTTGAGCAGATGCTATCAGCCCTGGCTTTAGTTCTTGTTCTTACGGTTCCCCTGCAATCCACCGCAGCCCTGTTTGAGGGCTTTCTTTGGCCGTAGGGGAATGGCTCGCTCATTCTTGGAGAAAGCCAGAGGTTCTGGGGAGTTAATGCTCCTGAGAGCCACCCTCAACCCCTCATGGAGGGCAACGGGTGGATAAATATCACAGTTGCCTTGCCCCTCCGGTGGGACAACCTTTGGACATGTTCTACCCATTCTCCCAGAAGGTTCCTCTCCGAGCTGAGCCCAGATTGTCCATAGCAGCGACCAGCTGGCCCATGCTGCTGGACTGCCTCATTGCTTCACCCTCCGCAGCGCTTCCCAGGATCACCTCCCAGCTCAACTCAAATCCTGACCCCAGGCTCTGCTTTTGGGAGAGTCCAACACAAGACCCTTTTGGGTTGACTGGGGCAACTGGACTATGGGTGGAAGTGCTGTGTGTCACTTGTCTTGCAGAGCAGAGAAGAGCCAGGGCACTGCCATTGTGTCTGTCCCACTTGGAGGGTCTGAGATGGAGGAGGGCTGCTCAGTCCACGTGGAATTCATACGGGCAAGAACTCTTCTTATGGTAGCTGCTGTCTGAGGCTCCTACCTACCTGCCATGTAGGGTGCCAACACTGAAGTCAGTCCATCCTCCATTTCCCCGCCCTGTGCTGATGCCTGAGAGCTTGGGATCTTACACCTGTGACCTCCTTTAATGCTTCCAGTGTCCAAACTCTCCTCCCTTCGGTGGCTTGATTAATATTAAAGTACAGTTTATTTATGTGTTTCTGTGGCTTCTAAGTCATCTGGTATCCAAATTCATTTTACTTCCAATTATTAACCAATTGTTTCAATATTGAATAAAAATGATTCTTACCTTCCTGATTAGTTTGTAATGATCTTGTATTATACATTAAATTCTCATGCGAAGTGGTATCTATTTTGAGGCTACAATTTTCTTTTTTTCCCCTAAAATCCAGCTATTCTTGTGTAAGTACCAAGATCTTGCAATTGGAGCTCTGTAATATATTTTACTATCTTCATTACTCATTTTCATCTCTCTCCTGTCCTCCCTCAAAAATTGCATCAATACTTAAACGGCATCAAACCTACAAATTACAATTGAGAAGAACTGATTTTTTTTTTTTTTTTTTTTTTTGAGAAAGAGAGGGAATGGGGGAATGTGCAAGTGTGGTGGGGAGAGTAGGGAGAGGGAGAATCCTTCATGCCCAGCACGGAGTCCGACATGGGGCTCGGTCTCACGACCCTGAGATCATGACCTGAGCTGAAATCGAGAGTCAGACACTTAACCAACTGAGCCACCCAGGCGCCCTGGCAAGAACTGATATGTTTAATTGACTAAGACTTCACATTCTGGAATGGAAAGTCATTTAAATTTGCTTGTTGGGGTCTCTGACTGGCACTAGACATCACTAGCCCCAACATCATAGTCTTCCCTTAGATGATTGACACTTGTTAGTAATAGCATGTTTATATTGTGAGTCTGGATAAAAAGATGATGTCAGTGATCTTCAGTGAGGCTAAAGACAGGCCTACTATGTCAACCGTTAATGTAGAACAAAATAAAAGGACACCACAGCCCTGGTCAGGGTCTAACCTTGTGTTTGAGTTAAGAAAACCAAAATCATTGGCCATATTAATTTAAGAAGGAAAAGGAGACAGAAAGCAATTGAGCGCATTAGACTGAAGCTCCTTTTTCTTTTTGGAACTTGGAGTCAACTGATGACCAAGGGTTGCAGGCCTCCCCAGTAATGTAATTTTGAGGAAGCTCCTGAGTAAAGTTTTAAGTCTACTGTGTGTTGGTTATTTGAACCATGGAGTGCTTTCTCTTTAATGCCATTAGTATTAATTTAGAATTCAAAGGAGTTGATCATTTCCTCAAGAATGGCATAGCTAAAGATGTCTTACTGGTTTTGAAGGTAGTATTTTCCAGAGATGTCCCATAGCATGGAAGGGAAACAGGAGTCCACACTCACATTAAGGAGAAATAAAGAATAAATGAAAACATCTGAGAACCAGTTGAAAGACCCCCGTGGTTCCCATGTTCCCAGGAACATTTGTTAGTTATTTGCTCCCCCCCCCACCACATTACATGTCTTTGTAATGTAGACAAAGCAAAGGTAACAGAGGCTGCCTGGTTCTCTTTTTTAGCTTGCTTTCTCTATCGTTGAGTACAAAGTAGGTGTCTTTGTGAAGCTGTTTTCTTAGAAAGGAAAGTGGAGTGTTGGTGGAGAGGTGGAGAGGGGATGGGTAGGGAGAGAGAGTGATCCCTCTCTTTATTTTGCCCCTCCCCCCACATGCTTGCTTGGCCATAAACAGGATGTGTGGGCTGTTAAGTAGTTTTAAGTAAGGATGTTAACAAAGAAAAGACATACATGATGGGTTTTTATTCTATTGGGAGGAGGGAGTGGAGTTTTAAATACCTGCCCTTTTCAGGGAGGAAAAAAGGAAAGTTTTATATTCTCCATGCTGCCTTGAATAACTGTCAAAAATTCTCAGCAGTTTCTGGCTAGCTGGCTGCCTCGATCTGGAGGCTGGCATTGTGTTTTCTTAACCTACAATTAACTACCATCCGCTCCAAATTCAACCAGTAACAGTCATATCCTTTCATGCGTTTTAAGGAACTCTTTCTTAAAGGTTCTTTAAGTTCTTTTCCTGCTCTTGAAAATATCAGTTTTTGGTGTAAAAGTTACCAAATTAGATATTGGGAAATCACTGATGATCACCACAAACTGTTCTTTCATTCACTCACATTTACTCACTGAGGGTCTCCTATGCCACCCGCCCTGGGCACAGTAATTTTAATTAGTTTAAATTGAAATTGCAAATAGCCCCATGTAGCCGGTGGCTGTCTATTAGCCGGTACAGAGCTGGAGGGCTGGGAGACAGGGATTAGAGCATCGGGTAAATATTGTGACACCTGGTAGTGGTAAGCTGGGAGGGAAGCAGCCCCACGGTTGGTGAGGGAGGGGGATGGAGGGGTTGAGGGTCTTCATGGAACACCTCTTGGAGAAATGATTTTAGATGATCGATTGCAGACCAGACCAAAGGTAGGAAGGATGGTGTGTGTGAGAGAGTTTGAAGACACTCTAGGCATCTCTGGATAATTAACTGCCTTTTGTTTTTAATGAAACATGAAAGATGGGATGCCTTCTATGAATGAATTTGAAAAAACATGCCACAAAACACTCATTCTTATTTTGAGATTTAAAGGCCTTTCATAATTTTAGGCAATGGTGTGGGTTCATGTTCCCTAGAAGCAGAACCTGAGCTCGGGATCCTTGTGTGTATGATTTTGAGGGGAAAACTGTCAGGAGAAGGGAGGTGGGGGGCAAGGGGAGCAGGGGACACAGCTAAGCAAGGATGTGGTCTCTGCTGGAGACAACCTCAGCCCGAGCCCATGGGAATTCTGGAGAATGCACTGCACACAGAGTTGGGCCCCCCTGGGTGAGGGACTGGTCTTTGGTACCATTCCCTGTGCCCATCAGTCACTGATTGTGGGCTGCACTTGCGAAGGTGAAGGTGGGTGTGTAACCTCCTGGGTGGGGGGTCTCCAGTCAACAGAGGGTAATTCTGGAAACTAGAGTAGTGGTGGCCCTTTAACAGCCAACATTCTTAAGAACAGGTGGGTCGGGGTCACTGCCTGGTGGGGGGATCGAGTTGGACACCTGCATCCATGACTGTACTGGCTCTATAGAACGTGGATGACTGAGTAGCTTTAGACAGACTTTGGGGCAGAAACAGATCGAAGGTGTAGGATTTCTTTGATCATCCTGGAACTTCCTGATGATTGTGGACTCAGCTGGTAGGTTGCAGTCATTAGCACGATTATGGATCTCTTGGCTTCTTTCACACACACCTGTTTATTGCCAGCCTACCGCCTGCCTGGCATTAGGTCTGTGCGCTTGGAACCTTGCCAAGCAAGGTCCGTTTATTTAGTAGACACCAGCCCTGCCAGTGACATGTTTTTGGCAAATGTCAAAAGAGCGCATTGCAAGAGATCCTGAAGAAGCTTAACCACAGAAACTGCCAAGGTTTACTTCTGTCAAGGTTCTGAAGGCACCAATCTTTGCCAAAACATTTATAAATGATGCTCGCAAAAGACCTTCGTGCAGCAGGTGGGCTCTTTGAAGGAACTGTACACATTTCTGCCCACTGAGGTTGGCTTCTTTTTTAAGATTTATTTATTTATTTATTTTAGAGAGAGAATGACAGAGTGTGTGCGTGTGCGGCCCCCGAGAGTGCGAGAGGAGCAGAGGAAGAGAATCTCAAGCAGACTCCCTGCTGAGTGCAGAGCCCCCACGACCCCGAGATCATGACCTGAGCCAAAACCAAGAGTCAGCTAACTGAGCCACCCAGGCGCCCCTGACGTTGGCTTCTTAGCAGAGGCGCTGGCTTGCCTTGGTGCCACTGGATTCAGTGTGATTGAACCATGATGTACTGAGCGCTTACATGTGCAGGTGACCTATGCCTGTCATCCTGTTACGGTCTTCACAGCCATTCTGGGAGGCCAGGCCGGTGGTGGCCATGCAGGCCCCCATGGCAGCGAGGACCAGTGGGTACTGTCCCAGCAGAGGTCCCTCTTGGCGCTGGCACTCAGGGTGGGTACTGGGCCCACTGCGAGAGCTTTATGGTGCCTGTTGGCTGTGGGGTGCAGCCTGGGTCCTGGCACAGTGACTTCCCTACTTTTATAGGTTAGAGGAAAACCAAACCCAGTTTGAATTCCCTAAAGGAAGAAGAAAAGTTTGTACCTTAATCTGCTTTCCCCCAACCTCACTCTGTTTGGAATCTTAATACACTTTGGGGAGTTGTGTTTTTAGGTCATCCTGTCTACGGGGATATCAGGGAAAAGCTCACTTGTTTATTACCAGCTGCAGGAACACTGTGGGACTTTATTTTGCCCAGTTGGGATGCTGGCTGCTTTAAGAATTAGGGCAGAGCTAAACTGAAGCTGCTTTGCTTAGGTCCTGTTGATGAGTTGGCGTCCTGCTCTGTTTCCTGTCCTGCTCTGTTTCCTCTCGTTGGTCCCATGAGCTTTGCTTTATTCCACGGTTACAAATGATACCCCTAAATTTGCCTGAGTCCATTGATTGTTTTTGTTCTTACTAATTGGCTGTGTGGCCTTGGGCCCATTGTGTACCCTCTCTTGTCTACATTTGTATCTAGAAATCGAGGGTGTTGGGCTACTGGCCTTTTGGTTCTAACATACAAAGAGTTTCACCCACACAGTCTCTGCTTCCACACATCCTCCTTAAGATTCCCTTTGCATCCTCCTTAGAATGGATCCAAGTCCTTATTTTTGTTTACAAAGGAGGCATATTTCAACATAAGCAATTTCTGAGAATTTTTAACAGTAAACCTGATCAATCATGTAATGACCATGTCTTCAATATTTATGGAAAGTTATTCCTCCATCTGATGGACACAAACCTCAGATAAAGAGCACAATGGAGCTAGTCAGGTTATTTCTTCCTGAGGGAACTTTGGTAATACGTGTCTATCATGGAATCCATCCATTTTATTAAGTCGTCTTCTTTATTGGCATAAAATAATTCATAGTATTCCCTTATCATTATTTTATGTAGAAGGCCCTAGTACTTTCACAAATATGTTGTCGCTCCTAAATATGAGGGAAAACTGTATTTTTTGGAAACATTTCCTTTTAAGTTGCTTTACTTGCTTGCTATTTAATTATATGTTGTACATGGTGGCTGTCTTATCAAGAGGTCAGAATCATTTAAAAAGTGCTTTTTAGGGGCGCCTGGGTGGCTCAGTCGTTAAGCATCTGCCTTCAGCTCAGGTCATGGTTCCAGGGTCCTGGGATCGAGTCCTGATCAGTGGGGAGTCTGCTTCTCCCTCTCCCACTCCCCCTGCTTGTGTTCCCTCTCTCACTGTGTCTCTCTCTGTCAAATAAATAAATAAATAAATAAAATCTTGAAAAAAAAATGCTTTTTAAGGAATCCACAGGCTCTTTGCCTCCTTTGTCCTGTATAATAATGCTTAGCAGAGGGTCCACTGGCCCCACAGATAAGCAGCTGATAAACAAGGAGTCAGAGTCTGTAGGGCCAGGCACTTTCAGATGGTTC